AAAAAAAAAATCCACTTGAAGAGTTTGACCCAAAATAAAAATATTTTTTTTTCTCCGTTATTTTAGTTTTATTTTTGTTAAATATTTTTTCTCAATTCAAGTGCAAGTCACGCATCAAGGAAAGTACATCAGGAATCAATCGAAGTTCTAACTGTGGATTTGCAATATTCGACTTTCGCCTTTACGGCGGCATTAAATGCAGAGAAGGGGCATATCAAGTTCAAAGTTTGGCATTAGTTGAGCATTTCCTCTTCCGCTTTGATGACGTCGAGGTGTTTGCATCCGGGGCATGATGGGAAAGGGGGAGAAAACTCAATAACATTTCTATGATGGGCAGTATTTTGTTGTGGGGTGTATACCTTTGAAATAATTTTATTTATGGGCCATAACAGTAAACTTCATAGTGAACGCAGCGATATTTTTTTACAAAGTTTATATCAACTCACTATGTCTGTCTGTCTGTCTGGTAAAATGTTTGTACACGCTATTTCTCCCACACCCAATCTCAAATCAAGTTTAAATTTTGCACAATTATTTCTTTCCCCTGACAATACACGAATCAATAAAGGCTATTCAACAATTAGTAAAAAAATTGTAAAAATGTGTAATTAATTATTTTGTTTGGTATCTCAAACAAGGGAAATAAATTGTACTTGGCCGAAGTGGCGTTATAAGTTGAAATATTCCCCTTTGTAGGTCGCAGCTTAAAAAAAAAGTTTTAAACCAACAATACATGACTATACAATCATCTATAGTCATAAGTACCTCACGAATATATCGATATCGTTTGATGTTAACCATCAGTTCGATTTCAGGTCAATCACTTTGTAAATGCTTTAAAAAAACGGTTATGGCAAAACTGAGCCAGAAACTCCTCTTCCCCCCCCCCCCCCCCCCTTTTTTTTTAACCATTTATCAACTGGTCAAAAAAAAAGTGATAGGATCGAGAAAGCTAAAAGCATGAAATTGCGCTAAAGAAAAATTATTGGTAAACTTATTTCTAATCGCACGGATTTTGTTTTGGTCTAGATCTATTACAAATTTAATAGCATGACTAATTCAAACTAATTGATACAATTACACTTCGTATTAGTTTCTTTTTTTTTCTTAAAGTATTTTGTAAAAAATGTTTCTTTTTTTTTTTAATTTTCTTATGCAGAGAGGATCGACACTTACTTTCCAACCCCGAAAGTCTTACACAGACAAGAACCAGACCGAAACTTAGATTTTGACTTAAGCATAACTAACTGTCAATAATTATGTTGACGGTTTAGGAGGGTGTCATGTGGCCAGCACAACTGCTTTTACCTTTACCAGGTGCTCGTTACAGAGGTTGGACTCAGGGGCGTCCCAGCAATTCAAATTTCCATTCTTAACGAAATTCGAACGCCTTGATTCGTAAGCCAAAAGCTTTATCTCGCAGCCAACACGCCTAGGATGCAAATAGTGGTTCTAGTATAGGGATCTAATGCCATATTACAAGGTCTTCGGGGCTTGCAAAGACCTTCCTTCAGGGAACAGTACCAGGAAAAAAAAGAAGTATAGGAAGACAGAAAAAGCGTTGGGACGACAACATAAAAGAATGGACGGGCCTGCCATTGAGAGAGGTTCTAACTAAGGCAATAGACAGAGAGGAATGAAGAAAGAAGGTCGACAAATCTTGAGTGGTGCCCCAACAGTCCAACAGACTAAGAGATAGGTCAAGGTTAAAGGTAAAATATAGTGACCACGTTAACGGCATGGTCAATGCTGTATCGAAATCTCTTATCGATCTTTTCTTTGTCAGAAGAGTTGGAAACAAGTGTGGAGAGGGGGGGGGGGACTCCCAAACTAAAGATGGAGGATTGTCTTAGGCTAAGTTAGACCCGGGTTCGAAATTTTCAAACTCTAAGCCATTTATTTCATGAGAGACGAAAATTTTTTTTTAAAATCTGTTTCGACCTTGGTGTATTACAGAGAAGGAATGGGGAAGACAGTAATAAGTATTTAAAAATGATGATGTACCAGACCGATCGTCATAGAAGGCCTAAACACTGACCTGTGACGTTGCAACATCTGGGCAGCTTAGACCAATCGCTCGTTGGTCGCGTCACTGGTCCGACTTCACGACCTGTGACGAGGAACGAATGTTGTCGGTTTGTCGGTTTGTGTGAGTTAGCTTCTCTGGGGGAAGGGAGATTTTAAAAAAAGGGAGGGGGGTTGGGGATCGTTAAAGACGTAAAGCTTGTAGACGCGGAGGGGTCGGTGGGTACTTGGAGGCTTGGTCATCAAAGTATTTGGAATCAATAATAAATGATCCAGACTGTTGATGACAAGTCTATGTCAGTGACAGTTAGTGGGTAATTATTAATTTTGTTTACGGGTGAAGATGAAATTAAAAGTTTGTTGTTATTTACGAAAGATAATCAGTGAGAAAGACAGACATTGAGAAAGGCAGACATTGAGAAAGGCAGACATTGAGAAAGACAGACAATGAGAAAGACAGACATTGAGATAAATACAACAGGGCGAATTGACTGAGTGATAGATTTATGGGCCTGCAATTGAAAGACTACTAGATGTAATGAAAAACAGTCAGAGAGAGAGAGAAAGAGAGAGAGAAAGAATAGAGAGAGAGAGAGAGAAGAGAGAGAGAAAGAATAGAGAGAGAGAGAGAAGAGAGAGAGAGAGAGAGAGAGAGAAAAGAGAGAGAAAGAAAGTGAGAGGGATATAGAAAAGGAAAGCCTGAATTGGGTGAAGGAAAATCGAGCGAGAGAGAAAGAGAGAGGGGGGGTTGAGAGAGAGAGGGAGTTGAGAGAGAGAGAGGGGCAGTTGAGAGAGAGAGAGGGAGTTGAGAGGGAGAGAGGCAGTTGAGAGAGAGAGAGAGAGAGAGAGAGGCAGTTGAGAGAGAGAGAGGCAGTTGAGAGAGAGGGGCAGTTGAGAGAGAGGGAGTTGAGAGAGAGAGGGGGGGTTGAGAGAGAGGGGGGTTGAGAGAGAGAGGGGGGTTGAGAGAGAGAGAGGCAGTTGAGAGAGAGAGAGGGGCAGTTGAGAGATAGAGAGGGAGTTGAGAGAGAGAGGAAGTTGAGAGGGAGAGAGGGAGTTGAGAGAGAGAGAGAGAGAGAGAGAGAGAGGGAGTTGAGAGAGAGAGAGAGAGAGAGAGAGAGAGAGAGAGGGAGTTGAGAGAGAGAGAGAGAGAGAGGGGGAGTTGAGAGAGAGAGAAAGACAATTAAAAACTGTCAGATGGGAGGAGTGAGATGCAGACAGTGTGATCGCATTAACTAACTATTGATACCGCCGTCTTATAAATATTAAATCTACCCCCATAACATTTCCCGCTCCTCTTACGACATTTTATTTTCCACACTTCGCGGTCCGGGGGTTCTGGAGTGAGGATCATTAATTATGCCCTCATATTCTTCCCTCGTCATCCTCTCATTAACCCTCCCCCCCCACGTCGCCACACCCAGGGTATTTTCTTTTTCTAGCCCGTGGGGAGAAAGTGGGGAAGATTTAAGCTTTTAAACCAGGAAATATTCATTTTTATGAGCCCCGAGGGTCTCCGCGTGGGGAACATTTTATTTTATTTTTTTTTCTGGTTTCTCAGTTTTAGATATGCGTGTGCGTGTGTGCAAATGTGTGTGTGTGTTGTCTTGTGTTAGTTCTCATCAATAAAAAACTGGTCATTAATCGCGTTCCTGCGGGCTGCTGGGATGCAGCGCTAATGCTGGACTTGTGTAACTGGAGCGCCGTATGTTTTTACGACATCCCGCCATACGCACACACACACACTTTCATATTTTGTGTTTCGAATTAATGTACAAACACGCACACACACACTCTCACACCTTTCACATTTATTGTTATACTTTGGGATTCTCCGTTTCATCTACTGGCGACCAAACCTGGGTAACCGCCTCGCCCCTCCCACCCCCCAGCATATACTCCACCAACCTGGCAAACTGATCTGGCGCTTTGATCTTAGCGGATTACTTTCATCGGTTCCAGGTGTTACGCGGTCGGTGTGTCACGTGGGAGCCGTATAAAACAGGATGGGGAGAGCAAAGTGACTAGAGGTATGTGTGTAGGAGGGAGAGAGGTGTGGGTAACTCTAATGTGGTGATAAGGCCTATGTGCGCATGAAGGAATGTATATGTGTAAGTGGTGAATATATGTAAGTAATGAGTATAGGTGAGAGGTGTGAGTTAAATAATGTGAAAAGGTGAATAAAGTGGTGTGCTTGTGTGTGTATATGTGTGTGTGTGAAAGCTAGAGAAAGAGCTGTGAGTGAGGTCATGTGGTCTGTGAGTAAGATCATGCGTGTGTGGTGTCTATGTGATTGGTGCGGGTTTATTGTGTGTGGGTTATGCGTGGGTGACATGATTTTGAGTGTATCATTTGTGGCCATGTTTTTTGTGCGTATGTGAGTGTCATGGTGTGTGTTTGTTTGCGTATGTCTGGTATGTGAATTTCTCTGTTGTGATGAATTTATGAAATGTTGTTGAATTATACAGAGAATACTTGTCTGAGATCCAATGTTCACAATAGAGGAATGATTCTAGTTTTTCATATTTCATATTCAAGACATTACCAAACATAAGTTAAGGGAACTAGGGATCATCCACCGATGACGTCCATATCGATGTTTACAATCAGATCTAATAAAATCATGTATTGTAATAATTATGTATATTATTATAAGCTTTTTAAAAATGTATCTTTTCCTCATGAAACTATTGTAAGAGTTTGTCATTTATGTAACATTATTAATCAGGTAACTTCACACAGTATGTCCTTGTAAGTCTGTGTAGCTATTGGAAGAGTCGAACTTTTCTAATTTGAAAATATGTTATTATGTTTCTATAAAAATGTACTGTGACCAATATTAGGACAATGATAGCACAAATGCTGGAAACAAAATCTATCAAAAATGTACTTTGTTGTGTTTTTTACATAAAAAATATTTATTAAGTCAGTCAATATAGGAAATTTTGACACTGAATGAGGACCAAATAAAAAAAAAATGAGATTCAGAAGTGGGATTTGAACCCACACCTACAAGAGTAGACTGGGCCCTGAACGCAACGCCATAGACCACTCGGCCATCTTGACAGTGTTGTGATATACAGAATTCAACAATAGAATGCCTTCTATAAAAAGATCATGATTCACAACTTAATTTATTCTTGAATAGAAACAGCTAAGACAATTCTTAACTTGTTAGCAGTTTCCAATGTATAGGCCTATTAATTCTAATATATTTCTGCAATAAAATACTAAATTTTAAAAAGGAGAAAAAATCTGACCCAGGAAACTACAGACCAGTATCACTTACCAGCATCACATGTAAAATCCTAGAACACATGTGTAGCAACATCATAAATCACTTAGACAAACAAAATGTCCTCACACCATACCAACATGGCTTTAGGAAATATAGATCATGTGAAACACAACTAATAGGACTAATTGATTATTTTTCTAAAGGTTTAGATAATAGTGAACAAATAGATGCTATCTTACTAGATTTTTCTAAGGTTTTTGACAAAGTTCACCACCATAGTTTGCTTAAAAAAATTAAAATATTTTGGCATTAATGGTCCACTGCATCAGTGGATTAAAGATTTTCTGATAGGGAGAGAACAAACTGTAATAATAAATGGCTCTAAATCAACACCAATAACAGTAAACTCAGGTGTACCTCAAGGAACAGTCTTGGGTCCACTACTATATTTAATTTACATAAATGATTTACCACATTGCATTACTTCAGGAACAAAAGTCGGATTATTTGCAGACGATTGCATAATATATAGAACAATAAAAACAATACAAGACACAGATATTTTACAAAGAGAATTAGATGAATTACAGAAATGGGAATCAAATTGGAGCATGTCTTTCTACTCAGAAAAATGTCAGCTTTTAAAAGTAACAAAAAAACTAAAACAAATTAATTCCACTTATCTTATTCATGGCAAACCAGTAACACAGACTAAAAACGCAAACTACCTAGGTGTTATAAGAAATGAAAAACTGTCATGGAATCCACATATTGATGAAACTATAAAAAAAAATCAAACAAAGCATTAGGATTTATTAAAAGAAATTTCTATAAATCAAATAAGAACATAAAACTAAAATGTTATTTAACCTTGGTTAGGCCAAAAATAGAATATGCATCCTCCATTTGGAACCCCTCATCTCAAGAACTTAAGAAACTGGAACAGACACAAAATAGAGCAGTGAGATTCATAACAAATAAATTTAGAAAGCCTTCAGGACAGAAGACTCAAAAGTAAAGTAGCAATTATACATAAAACACTGAACCATAATCTTCAAATACAAAAACAAAATTTAATAAAATACTCCGAAAGACACAAAGATAAAGGCACATTCCTCGTCCCATATGCTAGGACAAATTTGTACAAATACTCCTTCTTCCCTAGTGCTATTAGAGCATGAAATGGATTGCCTGAGCTAGCCAGGAAAACCAGTCACTTGGCAGAATTTAAGTCATTGGTTAATATGCATGACGAAATGCATGACGCGTAGGACGTAACCATCTTCTTTTTTGAAGTAACGTCTGTATTATATAAGATAAGATAAATTCAACCTTTAACTTTATCTCCATTTTAAAACCGTCGCTATATGTTCAAATTCTAACTAACTTAATACCTATCACAAAACAAAGCTTGATATGCATGTTTTGGTCAACCTTTAATGGACCTCACTCACTAATCGTAAACAAACGACATTTAGGCACGTAATTCTTTATCGTCATTATACTAATTACGATTTAATTTTTAATACACAATGGCTATCACGTGACAGTTTTTTTTTCATTGTTTTATCAATATTATAACGAACAGAACACAGATAACTTCTTCAGAACGCAAATAACTTTTTCAGAACACAGATAACTTCTTCAGAACGCCGATAACTTCTTCAGAGGCCCTGGTTTTCCTATGCCTAAGGTCATCTCTGGTCAATGGTTTACTAAGCTAATTCAGGCAATGTGTTACATCTTTAAATGGCTCTTGGGAAGAAGGAGCCCTTATACAAGGTTGTCCCAGCATACGGAACAATAGATGTGTCTTTCTGCCTTTCAAAATATTTACTTAGATTGTGTTTTGTTTTAATTTGAGACTGTAAATCACTGGTCTTCGTATTCTATACATTATTGCTGTTTCACTTTTTAGTCTTCTATGTCCTAAAGGTGTAGTGATTTTACTAAAATTATTTCTCTATATAAATACTAATATAATAATATATAAATACTTATACTCCTGTTTAATTTGAAAAAAAAAAGTGTATTTCCTGAATCCAATTATTACTGGATTTTATATATGATATCTGTAAACTTGTTTAGCTTCAATTAATCCGTGTGGATTAACGATGACTTGGTAACATTTAGAGATGTTCATAAAACAGTTGTTACTATTCAGTGGTGATTGATGATTCATGCATTCATTAATTTCTTTTTATTCATAGGCCCTTATACCTCGATAACTATCCTTCTTGTTACAATCCGATGACCGAGCCTTCCTTCCATATTTCTATCCATCTATGTACCATAAGAAGACTGGCTATGGCCAAGGGTAAAGATCCACCAGGAGATCTTCCAGATGGCTCGGAAGCTTTATGATCAAATGTAGGTCGAGGCTTTACTTGACGGACTGGGTCCTGCGGAAGCATGATAGATGCACCTGACCAGCGGAAGTGACCGCCAGATCGCCCTCGATTCTAAGAGTGCAATTAGCACCACCCAGGCCTCATTAGTCAAAACTGGGGGGGGGGGGGGGACGTGTTGCCACTTGAGACGAGAGCAGGGGGAGAGGGGGAGGGAATGACGAAGAAAAGAGAGGAAATCAGAGAGAGAGAGAGAGAGTGAGAGAGCTAAATATGAGTTGAAAGCGTCTCGGAGTTGGAGATGTTTGGACCTAAAGAAGAACAGGATAGGAAAATAAATCTTTGTCACAAGCGATGTTACTGGAAGACATCCAGATGTCTACAAGTTATACTTTATCCCCACCACTCCCCCCCCCCCACCCGCGTAACAGAATTTAGATTGTGGTCAGTGTAGGCAGTGGTATATCACGTATATCCGTGATGACCAGTGTCCGGCGCTATTACCCGGTGTCTCTGTGTGAGACGAAACCGGAGCACGCTGAGACTGGCATGATGTGCAGAAGATAAATTTGACGTTATATCGGTAAATATAACATAATAATATGTAATAATATAATAATAATATTTAATATATAATATAATAAAATATAATATAAACTTATTCTTCCGGGCTTTATCAACGTCTTGAATCTAGCAATAAAAGCTATAAAACAAATTATTTGGTTTTAACTCTTTCTCTCCGTAATTATTTACTACATTCTAGTCATTCTAGTGGAATCAACGTTGGTATTGTCAGTTAGGAGAGAAAGAGTTAAGCTTTACAGTAAGAAAACGAAGTGGACTGTTAACAATTATAGCCAGGAATACAGAAGGGCCACCTTGAGTAGCAAATGTTAGAAGATCTTCTTTCTTTCAAACAGTGTAGCAGGACGGAAGCTTACTTCTTTAAATGCAGTAAAATAAAAAATTGTGAAATATTTTTTACTAAAGGCAAAAAGACAGGAATTACTATTATTATTATCATCATAGCTTTAATATAGCGCTACTTTCATGCTTATAGCATGCAAAGAGCGCTTTTGGTCCAATCTCATCTGTGGACCAGTGGGGGGGGGGGGGGGGGGGAGGAGGGAGGGGGTATCTAGGAGTTGGTTTTCCGTGCTGCCTTTAGGCTCTCAGGAATGGAGAAAGACGCTCGACAGATTATGTTTGGTGCCCCAACGGTTCAACAGACTTAGGCAGGGGCGTGCATTTTTTTTCTATAGATGGCCGAATACAAATTTATTTTTTGGTATAGGGGCCGCATATTTATACATAGTGTGTATGTGTATAATTTGTAGGCCTATATAGAAGACTTTGTCTTTATAAAATATTTTTTGATAAAGTTCTATTTGAATTGCGATATTTATTTATTTATTATCTTTTCATTGCGAGGACCGAACGACTAAAATGCGTATCTGCTGACCTGGACCAGACACTCGGAGCCACGGGACACCAATGACGTCTGCGGATATTTACTGCCTGGCTTGGAAACTTAATGACACGTTACGATCTCATCGCTAATTGCTCGGGTCATTAAGGCTTCATTTGGCCGTCTCATCATCCAGGTTTTTGATCCACCGCGGTGGATACTCCCAAGTCCAATGGTCTTAGGTTGAATTCACTTGGATGTGTGCACGTGAGAACTTGGAGAGACTGGGAGGTGGGGATGCTGGGGGGATGTTGACATCTTTTGAGGTCACATTCGAACAAGACTAATTCAAGAACGATTGCCCCCCCCCCCCCATCCCCTCCAGAGTCGGAACACGTCTTGTCCTCTGGTCAGTTGTTCCTCTTCCGAAAATGTTTTCTCCCAGTATCGATATCTCTTTAAACACGACCTGGGCGATACATCAACCGCTAATTCTTTTCCTCCCCATGACAGGTCACTCTAGTGTCCAGCTCTTGACGACTTGAAAATAAGCCTTGTCTAAACCACTTGCACTGGTCATTCCGCGGCGATTTCTTCTGCATTCACGAGGTCCAGCCATGTTTATGCGCGAGTGTGTGTGTGTGTGTGTGTACATGGGGGTGGTGTATGCGTGGCTACAGGGGGAAATAAACGAAAAGACCCTGATCGAACAGAAGTTAGGGGAAAGAATAAAAGCAATGACTTTGAGTAAGATCAATTGAATATCAAACAAAGATGAATGGGGAGATTTATATCCCTCTTCTATTTGCTCCCTTTCTTTTTTTTTTTTTTGTAAGAAAACTGGCCAAAACGAGATTTGAAGGCTACCGGGACAGCGGGTAAAAAGGGGGGACAAGCCGGGACTAAGGGACAATGGCAACAAGATTATGAGGATAAAGGGAGAGAAGAACGTAGATGATTGGTCCGTAGATTGAATTCTCTGTCCCTGTTTCCGGTCCGCTCTGTGGCCACGATAATAAGGAACAAAATGGAGTCGGGCTCGGTAATTGGATGTTGATGAGGTAGTTAGAAG